AAAAAAATGTCAAAAATTTCGTAACAGAATTAAAAAATTAAGATAGCATGTTTATCGTTCCAGACTGAGATTTTCGCAATATACGGATTCAAATAAAAATTTTTTAAAAATCTTGAAAGTTGCCATATTTCAGATAGGTGAATCTGGAAAAACGGTACGCATTTTCGAAGAAATGTTTCCAAAAAGAGACGTCAAAATTTACAGAAAAAAAATCTCTTTACAAAATTTTCGGAGTTGATGCCCAAAAATTCAGGAAAAATTTTTGGATTTAAATCTCGACGAAATGAAGCAAAAAATATAGGGTGGTGGTGCTTCCAAATATTCGGTTTGGAAGTCAATTTTTTAGAAATCCGAAACACTGCCATATTTCAAATTGACGATTCTGGAAAAATTGTGAAAGTTGTGTAAGAAATGAAGCCGAAAATAACTTCTGGTAGTCAAAATCCACTAAACTCTGTTTAAGTAATTTTCAAAATTTGTCAAAAAACGTCAAAAATTTTATAACGTATGGAAAAATTGAGCTTTTGGGAAAATCGGCTAAAAATTAAAAGAAAATTCTAGTATATAGACATCAAAATGATGATTTGGAAAATTTAACTTGTTTATCGTTCCAGAACAAGATTTTCGAAATATCCAGATTGAAACCCATTTTTTTTTAAATCCTGAAAATTGCCATATTTCATATAGGGGCAATAGAACTTCTGAAAGTCTGAATTTATAAATTTTTTTTTTTCAAAAGTGGTCGAAAAAAAGAACAACATTTTTCTAGAGGTGCGAGTATTGAAAAATTGAGCTTTTTAGAAAAGAAATCTAAAAAATTGGAAAAAAATCTGGGATTTAGATCTCGATGAGCTGAATCTAAAATCTTAGCGGGTTGATTTTTAAAATGTTCAGTTTGAGAATCAATTTCTTAGAAATCCGAAACATTACCATATTTTTTATTGGCGATTCTGGTTAAGTTATGAAAATTGACTAAGAAGAGAAGCAGAAAATAATTTCTGGAAGTCATAATCTACAAAAATCTGTTTAAGTGATTTTCAAAAGTGGTCGAAAAAACGTCAAAATTTCATATCAGTACTGAAAAATTGAGCTTTTGAAAAAGTTGCCTAAAAATTAACAGAAAATTCTGGGATATAGGCATCAACATTATAATTCGAAAAATATAGTGTGTTTATCGTCTCGGAGCAAGATTTTCGAAATATCCGGATTGAAACTAATTTTTTTTTAATCCTGAAAATTACCATATTTCATATGGGTGATTCTGGGAAAAAAAGGTTTTAGCTTTCTAAGAAATTAAACCAAAGGAACTTCTGAAGGTCTAAATCTATAAAACAATATTTTTAGCTTTGTTTCAAAAGTGGTCGATAAAAGACAAAATTTTGCAAGAGGAGCGAATATTGAAAAATTGAGCTTTTTAAAAAAGAAGTCTAAAAAATCGCAAACAAAAACTGGGATTTAGATCTCGATGAACTGAATCTAAAAAAATAGTATGTCGATGATCACGGTCTAAGATTTTCAAAATATTCTATTTGAAAGTAAGTTTCTTAGAAATTCGAAACGTTGCTATATTTCATATTAACGATTCTGGTTAAATTATGAAAATTGTCTAAAAAATAAAGCAGAAAATAATTTCTAGAAGCCAAAATCCACAAAAATCTGTTTAAATAGTTTTCAAAAGTGGTCGAAAAAACGTCAAAAATTTCATATCAGTATTGAAAAATTGAGCTTTTGGAAAAGTTGCCTAAAAATTAACAGAAAATTATGGAATATAGACATCAACATTATAATTCGAAAAATATAGCGTGTTTATCGTCTCGGAGAAAGATTTTCGAAATATTCGGATTGAAACACCCATTTTTTTTTATCATGAAAATTGCCATATTTTATGTTGGCGATTCTGGAAAAACGGTTTTAGTTTTCTAAGAAATTGAACCAAAAGAACTTCTGAAAGTCTAAATCTATAAAACACTCTTTTTAGCTTTGTTTTAAAAGTGGTCGAAAATAGACAAAATTTTGCAAGAGGATCGAGCATTGAAAAATTGAGCTTTTTAGGAAAGAAGTCTAAAAAATCGCAAATAAAAACTGGGATTTAGATCTCGATGAACTGAGTCTAAAAAAATAGTATGTTAATGATCACGGTCTAAGATTTTCAAAATATTCTATTTGAAAGTCAATTTCTTAGAAATCCGAAACGTTGCCATATTTCATATTAACGATTCTGGTTAAATTATGAAAATTGTCTAAGAAATAAAGCAGAAAATAATTTCTGGAAGCCAAAATCCACGAAAATCTGTTTAAATAGTTTTCAAAAGTGGTCGAAAAAACGTCCAAAATTTTATGTCAGTATTGAAAAATTGAGCTTTTCGAAAAATTACCTCAAAATTAACAGAAAATTCTGAAATATAGACATCAACATTATAATTCGAAAAAAACAGCGTGTTTATCGTCCGGGAGCAAGATTTTCGAAATATCCGGATTGAAACCCATTTTTTTTTAATCATGAAAATTGCCATATTTCATATGGGAGATTCTGGAAAAACGGTTTTAGTTTTCTAAGAAATTAAACCAAAAGAACTTCTGAAGGTCTAAATCTATAAAACAATTTCTGTAGCTTTATTCAAAAGTGGTCGAAAAAAAGGACAAAATTTTTCAAGAAGAACGAGTATTGAAAAATTGAACTTTTTAGAAAAGAAGTCTAAAAAATCGCAAAAAAAATCTGGGAGTTAGATCTCGATAAACTGAATCTAAAAACCTAGCGTGTTGATGATCACGGACTAAGATTTTCCAAATATTCGGTTTGGAAGTCAATTTTTTAGAGATTCGATACGTTGCCATATTTCTTATTGACGATTCTGGTTAAATTATGAAAATTGACTAAGAAATGAAACAGAAAATAATTTCTGGAAGCTAGAATTACAAAAATCTGTTAAGTCATTTTCAAAAGTGGTCGAAAAAACGTAAAAAAAATGATATCAGTACCTATTGAAAAATTGATCTTTTGGAAACGTTTCCAAAAAATTAACAGAAAATTTTGGGATTTAGACATAAAGATTATGTTCGAAAAATATAGCGTGTTTATCGTCCCGGGGCAAGATTTTCGAAATATCCGAATTGAAGCCCATTTTTTTTTAATCCTGAAAATTGCCTATTTTATATTGGCGATTCTGGAAAAACGGTTTTAGTTTTCTAAAAAATTAAACCAAAAGAACTTCTGAAGGTCTAAATCTATAAAACAATCTCTTTAGCTTTTTTTCAAAAGTGGTCGAAAAAAAGTACAACATTTTGCAAGTGGAGCGAGTATTGAAAAATTGAGCTTTTTAGAAAAGAAGTCTAAAACATCGCAAAAAAATCTGGGATTTAGATCTCGATGAACTCAATCTAAAACCATAGCGTGTTGATGATCATAGACCAAGATTTTCAAAATGTTCGGTTTGAGAGTCAGTTTTTAGAAATCCGAAACATTGCGATATATCATATTGGCGATTCTGGTTAAATTATGAAAATTGTCTAAGGAATGAAGCAGAAAATAATTTCTTAGAGTCAAAATCTACAAAATTCTCTTTAAGTAATTTTCGAAAGTGGTTAAGAAATGAAGCTGAGTTACTAAAAAGTAACAGAAAACACAAAATTTCGCAAGAGGGACGAATATTGAAAATTTGAGCTTTTTGGAAAAGTTGTCAGAAAGTTTCCAAAAAAATTATGGGAGTGGCTTTGAATCGATGTTCAGTGATCATTAAACCAGTGTTTTCAAAAATGTAAAACCTCCGGTTTATAAGTTCTAAGATATATTATCAAATTACAATTGAAAGAGCACGTTATACAGTAAATTTCACAGGGCTATTGATTACTTCGCAAAGTTTTAAAATGACGTCATCAATTTTTTGAAAGAGATTGGCAGACAAGTTTTTCAAATTAACAATTAATAAAGACCACCTACTACAATAGTTTTCTTAACTTACAATCGAAAAGCAAATAATAATTTTAGTAGTCGGTTTTACAGCCACAAGTAGTTGAAAACCCAGAAGAGTTAAAGATTTCTGTTTGAGGTCAATTCGTCGTACTTTCATTCAGCGCAGCTTTAACTTCTTTCCCCAATGGCTTTATAATCTGTTGGAAAGAGTAACAGGTGTTCATTTAGTTTCACGTTCGGAGTTGTCTCTGCATCATTGAACGTACATTGTTTCACACTGTCGTCATCACGCTAATTTGGCACATTGCTTTCTCCCTGCACAAGGGTCACGTTTCCAACTTCGCTTACTTACAAGTAGGTTTCGTTTTTCTAATTTGACGTTATTCCTCCGAAACCAAGCGTTTTGATCGTTGAACTTATGTGACCATTTTAATATTTTTTTATTGCTGTGGTGAAACAATTAGAATAAAATAAGACTTGCAAGAGTTATGGCTATTTCAATTTTATGTAAGTGTGTTTGCTAAGGATACGGTTGTTTGGTCGAAATTGTCATAACAAAGAAGTATTGTTTCATTTCTATAGTCGATTAAACTTGCGATGAAATCAGGCATAACTTAATTTCTTTTTATTGAGTTTATACGAGACTTCATGGACATCCTGTATGACCTAACGCTCTCTTATTCAAAAAAGGTGCTAAATAGTACGATCCTGCTTCTTATTCAGACCGCTGCTCACTAGGTGAAGAAACTTTAACGTTCGTTTTCACTTGTATGGTCTGTTTACGTATAAAATAATAATTGCCGCAATGTACACAATGGTGAATCGAATTTGGTAAATCAAGCTCCTAAATAGGACTACATTGACGTTCAGCAACCGCGACAATCAAAATGAATGTTTCATAAGCCCGAGACTGATTTAGGCGTAAAACTTTATTAGATGCGAAGAATGTCGCATCTGCAACGTCCACTCGCTTATAAAGCTTCAGCTGCCTTAATTTCTCCCAGGACTTGAGTCATTTTTTTCCTAAAACGCCAGCGCTAACCTACAAATTGCATCACCGTCACAATAAATAACGCAATCCATTTCAAAGAACTAAAGGAGTCCTCCTCTCGCTCCTAAGCGAAGCCAAACGCGTCACATATCGAAATGCCAGATGCAAAATCCATCGCCGCCGGCTGACATGTTTCCATAAAAGCATCAAAGGGAAAAGAAATCAGGCTGGCGGGCACAGAACTCTCCGTCGAAAGTGGAGGCGACAGAAGCTGCCTCACCACTTACATCTTCAACCCCGTGGATACGTGCACCGGCAGCCCGAGCCCGGAAAAGTTCCCGCTGAAGACGCCAGACATTGAGTCGAAAATACAGCGCGATGACGTCATCAACACCGAGACTCACATGCACCCGAATTTTCTCTACGGGAAGATACTCCACGACGGGAGACCGAATTTTCTGACCGAGTATGAGCTGAGCTACAAAAATTGCAACTTTGGGGTTAGTCAAGGAGAACTAGCAAAATAAGGGACAAAATTCGGAAAGCTTGGACCTTTTGCACTATATATGGTTTCATGGCCGGTCCTGTTCAGTAAAAGAATTTTTATTTCCTGAACGTAAGCCAAGGAACTATTGTAATCGGGTCCATTGAACAACTGGCTAGTTTTATGTTTTCGTGACGTTCCATGATCTCTAGAGTATTAAAAAAATTAAATCTCCCGTTTCCGTCTATCTATACGTCTGTTTGTCTGCCGTCTGTTCTAATTTTTATTAGACATATAATCACTGGACTGATTGTTGTAAAATTTCTAAAATTTGATGTATATTAGAAATATCGTGTAAATAGAAAAAAAGGTAACCAAAATTTGAATAGTCACCCCCACCAACAATAGGATGTCGTCATCTCAAAATTTTTCCGATTAGATCTTCTCTGAAATATGCAAAGTATTATGACTGAGGGGTTAACATAAAAAAATAAAAATCACTAAACCAAGTAATACAATATTTCGAAAAATCTGGTTTAGTTACCTTCGACCAATTTTTTGACATCACAATTTTGCGTTTTTCCATTTTCTTTAATTTTTGCAATTTTTCCATTTTTCAATGTTTCTGTTTTATAATTTTTCGTTTTTTTAACTTTAATTTTTTTAATTTTTCAATTTCTGGATTACCAAATTTTCCAAATTTTTCGGTTCTTCATTTTTTCGATTTGCAATATTTCGGTTTTTCAGTTTCTCATTTTCATTTTTAATTTTCCCGTTTTTTTTCATTTTCATTGTAATTATTATAATTTTTCGTTTATTTAGTTTATCTTCGATTTTCGGATTTTTAAATTTTTTAATTTTGCAATTTTAGGATTTTTCAACTTTCTGATTGTCCAATTTCTTTAATTTTCAGTATTCCGTTTTTTCAGTTTTGCACTTTTTGGATTTTTTAATTGTCCAGTTTTTTAATTTTTCGATTTTTCAATTTTTTGATTCTTCAATTTTTCATTGTTTCCATTTTTTTTATTCGAAAATCAAAAAATTGAAAAATCCAAAAATTAAAAACGGAGAACTAAAAAATCGAAAAATTGCAAAAGCGAAGAACTGAAGAAACGAAAAATTAAAACATTGAAAAACTAAAAATTGATAACCTTTAACATCGAAAAAAATTAATGTATCGAAAAACTGGGACCAAGGAAAAACCAATCGTATCGAAAAATTAGAAAACTCAAAAATTATAAAATCGAAAAGTTTGTTATAAAATCGTCGACATTGTAAAGTCGAAAAACTATAACATTAAAACATCGAAAAATTGGAAAAGTAAATATCCAGAAATTGAAAAATTAAAAATCGAATTCATAAATGAAAACGTTTTAAAATCCAATAATTGAAAATGAAAAAATTCTGAAAGCTTAAAATTGAAAAAGTGAAAAATTTTAAAATTTATAATATTACAAATTTAAAATCAAAACCAAAAAATTTGCGAATCAAAAATTGATGAAACGAAAAAAGAAGAAGCGAATCGAGAAACTGAAAACCTAAAATTGAAAAAACGAAAAATTGAAAAATCTACGGGTTGAAAAATCGAAAAACTGAAAAATTCAAAAATTTTGAAATGTCACATTGTATAAAAAATATATATATAAAATCAAAACATTGATAAACCGAAAAATTGGAAAAATAAGAACGAAAAGTTAAATTGAAAACTCGTCGCAAATCGAAAAAGTGCGAAAATTAAATAAAACTGTAGCATTTAAAAAATGGAACATTGAAAAAATAAAGTGAAAAAATGAAAAAATACAAATCGAAAAATTAAAAAATCAAAAAATTGAATAATCGAAGTACAGAAAAATAAAAAATAGAAAAATTGAAAAATTGCATCAGGGAAAGATTTTTAAATCCATTGAAAAATGGAAAAATTCTGAAATCGTAAAACTGAAAAAAATTAAGCATTTTAAAAATTACTGTTATTGCATATTTAAAATGAAAACTCGAAAATCGAGAAACTGAAAAATCTAAAATTGAAAAAACGAAAAATTGAAAACCCAAAAATTTGAAAAATCAAAAAATTGAATAATTTCACATTGATAAAAAATATAAAATAATATCGAAAAACCAATAATTTTAAAAAATCAAGAAAAAAAGAACCAATTGAAAAATTAAAAACTGAAACATCCAGAAGTTCGTAAATCGAAAAATTTAATAATCAAATATTCGAAGTTACACATCGTAAAATTGAAGAAACAAAACTATGAAAAACTGAAAAATTAAAAAACGAAAAACTGAAAAAACTGAAATTGAGAAAATAAAAAATTATATTATATTGATGTTCACATACATATATATACACATAAAATATCGGCAAACTGAAACATTAAAAATTGAATAAAAAAAAAAAAATTAAATCCAATAATCGAAAAATGGAAAAATTCTAAAAGCTTAAATTTGAAAAACTAAAAAATTTGCGAATCAAAAATCGAAGAAATGAAAAATTGAAAAATCCAAAAATTAAAAACCTAAAATATAAAAAACGAAAAATTTATCATCAAAATCTTACATTGAAAAAAGAAAATTACAAAAACAGAACATTTAGAAACCGAAAAATTGAAAAAAATGTATAAAAACCGAAACGAAAATTTGCAAATCGAAAAACTGAAAAATACAAAAATTGAAAACTCGTGAAATTGCAGTTTAAAAAAGTGCAAAATCTTAAAATTGAAACATCCAAAAGAAAACTGGAACATCCAAAAGTTGGAACATCGAAAAATTGAAAAATTTAAAAATTGCAAATTGAAAATTTGAAGAAACGAAAAATTGAAGAATCGAAAAACTGAAAAATTAAAAATTGAAGAATTGAAAAATCGCATGAATGAAAAATTTTTAAATCCAATAATCGAAAAATGGAAAAACTCTGAAGTCGTAAAATTAAAAAATGTAACATTTTTAAAATTACTGTTACTACTTATTTAAAATGAAAACTAAAAATTGCAATCAAAAGAAACGAAAACCCGAAAATCAGAAAACTGAAAAATTTTAAACTGAAATAACGGAAAATTGCAAATCAAAAAATTCAAAAATCCAAAAATTGAAAAATTTTACATTTAAAAAAATATAAAAAATAAGAAGATTGCAAAAGCAAAAAATTGAAAAAATAAAGACAATAAAGAACCAAATGAAAAACTGAAAAAATCGAAAAATTCAAAAACTGAAACATCCAAGAGTTCGTAAATCGACATATCGTAAAATTGAAGAAACAAAAAATGAAAAATGGAAAAAAATTAAATTGAGAAAAGAAAAAATTATGTTACATATATTGATGTATCGAAAAATTGAATAATTAAAAATCGAATAATTGAAAAAGTTTTAAAATCCAATAATTGAAAATGGAAACATTTTATAAAAATCGAAAAAGTGATTTTTTTTTAAATTATGTTACATATTTAAGGTGAAAACTAAAAAATTTGCAAATCAAAAATCAATTTTTGATTTGCAAAAAATTTTTCGTTTCTTCTAAGAAACGAAAAATTGAAAAATCGAGAAACTGTAAACCTAAAATTGAAAAAGAAAAATTAAAAAATCAGAACATTGAAAAACCGAAAAATTTAAGAAATAAAGAAAATAAAAAAAGCGAAACGAAAAATTACAAATCGAAAAAATGAAAAACGGAAATGAAAAATTGCAAACCGAAAAATTGAAAAATCTAAAAATTCAAAAATTAATAATAGAAAAATTGAAAAATCGGATCAATGAAAAATGTTTAAATCCAATAACTGAAAAATGGAGAAATTCTAAAATAGTAAAAATGAAAAAATAAAACACTTTTAAAATTACTGTTATTTCATAGGTATTTAAAATGAAAACTAAAAAATTGCAATCAAAAGTTCAGGAACCGAAAACTCGAAGATCGAGAAATTGAAAAATCTAAAACTGAAAAAACAAAAATTGAAAACCGAAAAATTGCAAATCGAAACATTGAGAAATCAAAAAATTAAAAAAATACACATTTAAAAATATAGACAAAATAAGATTATTGAAAAAGCAAGAAATTGAAAAAATTAAGAAAATTAAGAAGCAATTGTAAAATTGAAAAATCAAAAAAAAAAAAATTGTAACATCCAAAAGTTTATAAATCGAAAAACTGAAAAATTAAATAATGAAAACTCGAAATTAAATATCGTAAAATTGAAGAACCAAAAAAATGAAAAATTGAAGAATTACAAAACGAAAAATTGAGAAAATTGAAATTAAGAAAACAAAAAATTATATTATATTGATGTTCGCATCCATATAAGTACATAAATTCAAATGAGATTTCTCCTTTATCACGGTTACAAAATTTAGTGATCATGTGTCAGAATCAAACTTATTTTGCCTAATTTCTTACCTGTTGTACAATTTAAATTTTGTCACTATTAATTTTAACATTTTAACAGTGACAAAATTTAAATTGTACAATGGGTAAGAAATTTGTGAAAATAAGTTTCTTTCATTGTGACAAATAATCACTAAATTTTGTAGCCTTGATGAAGGACACAGTTGGTTGTCTAAAACGTCAATATTGTAAAAATTTTATTGTTAAAGTCCAATTTCCCACTCTCTTTTTAATATACAAAAAATTATAAATGAAAAATTAAAGAATTAGAAACTCGAGAAATTTTGTATCGAAAAATTGCAAAACTAAAAATTGGAAAATTCGAGAATTTGACAGTTGGAGAACTGAAAAATTTACCACTTGCCAACCCAAAAAATTGCAAATCGAAAAACTAAAGAAACAAAAATATGAAATCATTGAAGAATTGAGACATTCAAGTCAAAGCTACGGGAGTGTTATTACACGACTAGTTTTTACTTTATAGAGGTTATCAGAAAGCAAAAATCTCAAAAAAAAAACTTTTCAAAGAAGCAAGATTTATTGGGCTTTCGACCAACTTTTTCCCATGTGCAAAAGGTCCGCTTTCGAGTTTTGTCCGCCCCCGTGCAAATTTACACCTAATTTTCGCGGACCAGGTCGCCGACCACGGAAAGTGCTGTGTAGGGGGTCATTTCGGGGGGGATTTGAGCTTCGGACATTTGTACACAATCAGCAAGAGTGACAAGGAAGAGAGGACCTACGATGAGCCGTACACGGGCGATTTGCCGAGGAGGTCGTGGCTGTGCTGTCCGGGCTCGCAACATCACGTGGAGTGCGAACAGCCGCCCCCTTTGGATAACAGCAAGTCGCCGTCCACCCCTTCCGAAGCCATTACGAAAGCGCCGAGTCATAGCCTCTGCTCGGGAAATTGTGTATGTATCATTACCTTGCTTGTTACGCTCTAAGTTTTTTTTTGCGGAGTTTGGGCGAGATTTTGCATATTGCTACACCGGAACGGTGTTTGTTATGGGCCATTTGCTGGGGAAGTGTACGGGTTGGTATGAAACGGGGATTAACGATTAAATTGTCGTAGGGGAGTGTTGTTCGCGTCTGGAATTACGGTAGGGAATTTGGTTTTTATTTTCTAGGATTTGAAGATATTGGGGCGTAGAAAAATATGATATGGTAGTTTTTAAAATGAACGTGAGGAAAGTGGTTGTTACAACGAAGTTGTTGAATGTTTAATTTTAGAACGATTCAGAAAACTTTTAATTGCAATTACGTCGATAAAAATATGTAAAACAACACAAGATATTGGTGATTCTGATTAAATAAATAATTGTTGTAATTGGACAATATTTCCCTAAAAAAATCTATAATTCTAATGTATATTTCTAATTCTTTCAAATGAAATTATGTATGGTCTTCCTAAAACTTCCAACCTCATAATTCTTCCTCTTATGACTATTTTCGCACTAAAAATTAATATTTCTGTCTGTGTTCGTCCTCAAATGGAAATGTTTTAAAATATTCCTCTCACTTCTGAATTTGAAGGCTTCCATAATATTCGCCCTGTTTTGCTTTATCCCATTCATCTCGAGAAGTTTCCTTTTTAATGAAATTTTCTAGGACCTCTAAGTATCTTCGTCATTATCGTTTTACTTCCTGAGCGTAAGCCATTTTCAAGTTTTCTCGACATTTCATGACCCCTTGAGTACGAAAAAATAGATACACCGATTCATATATTTTTTTTAGTAAACTCTGTACTAATAAATACCATACTGCTGTATTTGTGCTTTATGAATCCGTCTTGATTTTTACCCCTAGGCTGTTTAATCGAAATTGCACCTTCACATTTTATACCAAAATAAGGCTACTGTCGAATTACAAACGCTAAGATGGCTGGTTCGATGAAACTCAATTCATTTTCTTGGAAATTTGGCATTAAATGTTGCGCCAGCCTATGCTCAATAATAATAAAATAAGACTTATCGTAATACTGCTACTACTACTACTACTACTACTATTACCCATAGTAATATTTAGAACCATTCTAATTTAATAAATAACACAGGCCTCCGTTTTTTAATTTTTCATTTTAATACACGAATCTTATATATTGTTGGGTACTCAATCCAAATAGAAATTCCATTTTTCTCCATCACCCAGGAATTTTTCAAAGAAAGGCTTCTTTTCTTATTAATAAATATATTCTTTTAAATGTACTTAAATTTATCTGATGAAATCACACAATGAAATGCTAAATATGGCAAAAAAAGTAAATTAAATGAACGAAGAAAGATTGAAAATTTGAGTATCAAAAATCGGAAGTCAAGAAATTAAAAAATCGGAAAGTAAAAATGTTAAAAAATCGAATGGATAAATTGAAAATTAAAAAACTGAAAATTCGAACATCGAAAAATCGAAAAGCAAAAAATTCTAAAAACTGAAGAATGGTAAAATGAAAAAATCGAAACTTCAAAAAATCCAAAATTGGAAATTAGAAAAATCGAAGAGTTGTAAAATTGAAAAATTGGAAACTCTTAAGTAATAGGAAACCAATTGAAAATTGAAACATCGAAAAATTGGAAATTCGAAAAATCCAAAAAATCAAAAAACCGAAAATTCGAAAATCAAAAAATCCAAGAATCGAAATATAGAAAAACCAAATATCGAAAATTAAAAACTCGAAAAATGGAATAATCGATAAACCAAAAAAAAAACGACAAGTAAGAAAATTGAAAAGTCCAAAGAAATGGAAATTTTGAAAAGTCTAAAAACTGAAGAATGAAACAATTAAAAAATCGAATATTTCAAAAATCGAAAAATAGGAAGATTGAAAATTCGAGCATCGAAAATAGGAAACTCGAGAAATAAAAAAATTGAAAAGTAAAAAAGTCCAAAATCGATAAACTGAATAATGGAAAAATTGAAAAATCGAAAAATCCAGTTTCGAAAATCGAAAACTGAAGAAATCAAACAATGGAAAAGTAAAAAAATAAAAAGTTTAAAAACTGAAGAGTGGAAAATTAAAAAATCGAAAATTCAAAAAATCAAAAATCGAAAAGAATTGAAAATTTGATTAATGGGATGTTCGAAAAACCGAAAATGCGAAAAATCAAAAAACCGAAAATTTGAAAATTGAAAAATCCAACAATCGAAATATAGAAAAAACGAAATATCGAAAATTAAAAACACGAAAACTGGAAAAATCGAGAAACTGAAAAAGTCAAACAAATGGAAAATTTTAAAAATCTAAAAACTGAAGAATGTAAAAATTTAAAAATCGAAAATTCGGTTATCGAAAATCGGAAACTGAAGATATCAAAAAATTGAAGAGTAAAAATTGGAAGGTTTAAATCTAAAGAGTGGAAAAATTGAAAAATCGAAAGGAAACGAACTGAAAATTCGCATATTGAAAAACGGAAAATTCAATTAATGAAATGTTCGAAATAACGAAAATATGAAAAATCAGAAAATCGAAAAATCCAAGAATCGAAATATAGAAAAAAACAAATATCGAAAATCAAAAACTCGAAAAATGGAAACATCGAAAAACCGAAAAAACCAAAAGTAAACAATTGAAAAATCCAAAAAAAGGAAAATTTGAGAAGTCCGAAAATTAGAGAATGTAAAAATTAAAAAATCGATAATTCGAAAAATCAAAAGTAGGAAGATTGAAAATTCCAGCAACTCGGGAAGTCAAGAAATCGAAATGTAAAAAAAATTAAAAATCGAAAATAAAAAAATTCAAATATCGAAAGGTAAACAAAACTTGAAAAGTCTAAGCTTAAGAATAGAAACATTGAAAAATTTAGAATTCAAAAAATCTAAAATCGAAAATTTTAATATCGAAGAATTGAAAATTTTCAAAATCGAGGAAAGGAGCAGATTAAAAATTCCAATATCGAAAATTGAAAATTCGAGAATTCCAAAATTGAGATTTCGAAACATTGAAAAATTCAAGAATCAAAATATAAAAAAACGAATCCTCGAAAGTCGAAAAATCGAAAATTCCAAAAATCGAAAAGTCTAAAAATTCAAAAATCGAGAAACCGAAGTTTAAATAATTACAAATTCGAATACCGAAATATTGAAAATTCTCTGAATCAAATATTCGAAGTATCGAAAATTGAAAAAACGAAAATTCAAAAGATCGAAAAATTTAAAAATTGGAATTTCGAAAAATGAAAATCGAGTGAGCTAATTACGCCGCAAGAACTGTGACGGTGTCATTTACCTCCTGCTCCTTGCCTGCACTTTTAAAATTCTATAAGCAATATTTATTTTAAGTTGTCATAAAGAAAATAAAATTTGCAAAATTAAATTTTATAATTTGTTCGACTGTACTTCAGAGGCGAGGGAACTTCTGCAGACCAATTTTTATTCAAGTGTAATCTCAAGCCGAACCCGAAATTTCTTTATTTCTTCGAGTTACCGAATAGAAAACTTGCGGAATTTTTTAGAACTTAAAACGTTAATTATCTTCTCTTTTTAAACTCAATTCCGCACCCTGAAGTTGAAATTTTTCCATATTTTATCGCTTTCGAATAAAATTTTTTTAGAAATCGTATCTCTTTGTTGATTATATTAAATTTTTCTAGTTCGCCTTCTTACTATTACGTTTCTGTAATTCCATTTTTTTCCAGTCCTATTAATTCATCAAATTTCGCCAACACCAGTGTGTTTGGACGACCTCCTATTGATTTCAAAATATATTATTTATAGCTTCCTTTCCTCGAATCGCCCGTCACCAGAACGATTCTCTTCCAACGCGCCAATTAAATCCACATCAAATTAGGGTTATTTTATTATACATATCTTTAATTCTGTTTAAATAGTAAAATGAGAGCTTATGGTAATGATTTGGCCAACCTTCCCCACAAACAATGTGACGACGCTGCACCTATCGGAACTGACATACGTGTCTGTTGAAATGTTGATTAGAACATATTCAAATGGAAAAACTCAGAGTGTTTTCATTCCATAATGTGTTCGAATCAAGGCAGTGGCGGAGTATACGTGATTAAAGTATGATACATTAACAAATTGAGAAAAACAAGCTCTACAAGAATCACTGTCATTTAAAATAAAATTTGCTTTTTTTGCATTGGTAAATTAACTTTGGGTAAATATTTTGACCAAATTGTGTCAATGTTGTTACGAATGTAACACTACGTAAACACTGTTTAGTCTTTTGCTTTCGTCATTAAACAGATTTGAGAAACAATGTAAAATAAAATATCAGTTTTTCCCAGTGTTATGGTCCGCATGTTTGTAAACATCACTGAAACGCTAATTTCAGCAATTATTCAAACCGACCAACTGTTTACTCCAGACTGACTCTTTAATCGCACTTTTCAACTCATTTCTTTAGTTTTCTTCTGTCTCTTGTGACTAACACTGACTGCTCGAGCGACTCTTTTTGTTTCCTTTTCATGCTACCGCAAATTTACATTTCCTGTCGGTGACGCTAAATACCATTCACACTTTTGAGAAATGTTTACCCTTACGGAAGAGACGGTAATATGGAAATCACAGGATCCAATACACATCCAAATAATGTATGCAACACGTGTACAACGTCGAAATTGTTGTTTACGAGATAAACAATGATGGAAATTGGGTACGCTCAGAAGTATTGATTAATGTATTTGAATATTTTATTAAGTATGTTTCCAGGAAACCAGGAGACACGGTTTTGGCCACTCGTCTAATCGCTTTCGCGTTCAGTGAAAAATAGTTTTACTTCCAGGCAATAAAAGCGTTAACACCGACAAACTTTACGTCCAATTAAATTGTGAAATCAGTTTTATTGCAACGCAATAAACACATCGTTTATAAAAAATGAATACAGATCCGTTTAGCCCATTTCGAGTATTTGTTGCCACAATTTGTGTCCGTTTTTTCCTAAATGTAAATCGCGCCCTCT